CATAACTGTTACTGTAACTACAACTATAGCCACCAATATAAGTAGAATAGGAACATTGAGCAATAGATAAATAGCTGCTACTGGCACAGTTAACTTCATCCCACTTCATGGAAAGGTAGTCCGTACCATAACTACAGAAACAGTTTTTATATTTTTATAATGTTTAGTGATCAGTACAAACCTGACAAGTCCGGTTCTTGAGTAGCTTGAAGCTCCAGTGTATCCCAACTGATGACAAATGACATTAGTTTCAACTGAATTGTAATAATAATCATAACAGATATTACCCCATCCATTATAATATACTCTAACTGTTCCATAGTAATAAGAGGTTGATGATACATTATAACGAGAGAGAATTATGGCTCCATTTGCAGCATTACTAACTATAAGATCTAAATTAATAAAAAAATTATAGTCATTTTAAGTATAGCTGCCACTAACTTGAACAAGTTGATGAAGTTACAGTTTGACGAGATGAGGAGGAGTACTCTCCTACAAATGAATCACAATAAACAGTTACTTGGTTATGGGTATTCTTACTGCAACTGATTGTAACATCATTACTATGAGAACAAGTAGTCACTGAAGAGGATGGACAAGTGTTTCTAGTACCATAACACCTATCACTTGATGTACTGTACATATTAGTACTCCATATTGGCTGACTAGAGCTACCACTGGATCTAAATTATTGAAAATTAAATTTTAATATAATCATCAAATACCGTATAGCGGAAAATTTCTGTGGCCCAAAAATTTCGCGGTTCCATTCAAAAATCAATTTCATGGCTTTAATTTTTGTGGTTTTGTACTATTCGGCCATCTTGAACCATAATAAATCAATTTTCGTGAATTATATTTTTGTGGATTTTGAAAAAAACCTGTAATCCACGAAAATTTTCCACTATACAGTATACTAACATTGACAAGTGATTATAATTGTAATAGCTGTCATATCCCAGTTGCTTGCAAATGGTGTTAGCATCAGTAGTTCCAAACCCAGTACTGCATATTGTCCCCCACTGTCCATTACAATACACTTCCACACGTCCTTCATTAGAATAAGCTCCTCCTTGAAGACGTATCATACCAGGGAATGGATTACTGTTCCAGATTCTAGTAGTGTCTGTACAATTTAATAAAGCAAAATTTTAAACAGTGCTATCTTACAGCAGTACACAGTAGCGTCATAACTGTTACTATTAGTACAGCCACTATCAATAGAAGTAGAGTAGGAACATTGAGCAATAGACAAATAGCTGCTACTGGCACAGTTAACATCATCCCATTTCATAGAAAGGTAATCTGTGCCATAACTACAGGAACAGTTTTTATATTTTTATAATGTTTAATGACTAGTACACACCTGACAAGTCCAGCTCTTGAGTAGCTTGAAGCTCCAGTGTATCCCAACTGATGACAAATGACATTAGCTTCAGCTGAGTTATAATAGAAATCATCACAGATATTACCCCATCCATTATAATATACTCTAACTGTTCCATAGTAATATGAAGCTGATGATATATTACTACGAGAAAGTATAAGAGCTCCATTTGTAGGATTACTTATAAGACCTATTTTTATGTTAGGTTTGTTATTGATCAATGTAATAAACTGACTTGAACAAGTTGTTGAAGTTACAGTTTGACGAGATGAAGAGGAGTATTCTCCTACAAATGAATCACAATAAACAGTTACTTGGTTATGAGTACTCTTACTGCAACTGATTGTAACATCATTACTATGAGAACAAGTAGTCACTGAAGAGGATGGACAAGTGTTTCTAGTACCATAACACCTATCACTTGATGTACTGTACATATTAGTACTCCATATTGGCTGACTAGAGCTACCACTGGATCTTAAAATATTGAAAATTAAATTTTATTATAGTCATCAGATATATACTAACATTGACAAGTGATTATATCTGTAATAGTTGTCATATCCCAGTTGCTTGCAAATGGTGTTAGCATCAGTAGTTCCAAACCCAGTACTGCATATTGTCCCCCACTGTCCATTACAATACACTTCCACACGTCCTTCATTAGAATAATTTCCTCCTTGAAGACGTATCATACCAAGGAATGGATTACTGTTCCAGATTCTAGTAGTATCTGTACAATGTAATAATGTAAAATTTTAAGCGATTATCATCTTAAGCCTAGTACATAAATAAGCATTGCAACTGAAAGTTATGTACAAACCAATGGCACATGCATTAATAATGCAAAAATTAAACTTTGGTCATCTACAGCACTTTCAGAGCATACTATAGCCTTACAGCAGTAGACAGTTGCATCATAACTGTTACTAGAACAACCACTATCAATAATAGTAGAGTAGGAACATTGAGCAATAGATAAATAGCTGCTACTGGCACAGTTAACATCATCCCATTTCATAGAAAGATAGTCCGTACCATAACTAAAACTACAGAAACAATATTTATATATAATGTTTAGTGACCAGTACACACCTGACAAGTCCAGCTCTTGAGTAGCTTGAAGCTCCAGTGTATCCCAACTGATGGCAAATGACATTAGCTTCAACTGAATTATAATAGTAATCATAACAGATGTTACCCCATCCATTATAATATACTCTAACTGTTCCATAGTAATAAGAGGTTGATGTTATATTATAACGAGAGAGAATTAGGGCTCCATTGGCAACAGCAAAATAAGCTACAAAATTATACACATATCATCAAATTTATTCGTAAAGAGAACATCATAGTTCTGAGCATTGATATCATGTAAATCATACCAAAATACTGTGGCAACTAAAGTAAAATCTGTGAATAAAACATTGTAATCATCAAAAATTTTCA